ATTGCGTTGACGGTTTTTCGTGTAGCACGTTGATGTCGAGCAAATCGACCGCCAAACCATTGCGAAGTCGGAGTTCCGACATCAAAGTGCAGTTCATTCAAAATGATGCGCTCCATATGAAGAATCTGCAGACGACAATGTAGAAAGTGCAAAGTAAAGGACACGGCTTGGGTAAGGAAGCTACCTGCTCTGCTGTATAAGTGTCATCAGTAACATAGACAAATTCTTTCAACTCGGGTGGATAAATTTCTTCATATTTTCTAGAAAAGAAAGAATAAGACATTGCACAAAGGCAAATGAAACAGATAAGCAGGTACTTACGATGATATCATCATAGCAGTTGTCCCAATTAACTGCAAACGATCTCGATTTGTGCGAAATTTCGACAAAGTCCTATCTACTAATGAAACAGCGAGATGCAACGTTTCCTGCAAACAAAAATCATTTTTTTTTCAGAAAAAAATGGTGGATCGTGGCTCTACCTGATGCATTTTGTATTCCTGCGCTACTTCTGATAGCCAATCCACAAGGATAGCTCTCATTTCGGGATTAATATCAGGTTGCCTCGACATATAATTAGCTTTCGCTCGGACTTTTGTTTCTCTATCTCGCATGTACCTTAATCGCTCTATTTAACAAGACAATTCGCATGGTACAGAATTTTCTGTTTGCTATACCTATAGATATCATCAGAAAATTCAGGATTCGTAAAGATGATGTCCTCTCGTAATTCTTTCTCGGATACTGCTGTCATATATTCATCACGACTGTCTGTTTCAAAATCGAGTGCGCTGCCATATTGAGATGATTTAGCATCGTCATCATCATTAACTCCAAAGTTAGAAAAATCAGATCTTATGGTGGCTGGGAAGGAAGGGACTTGGGATACCGTCGAGAAGACTTCCTGAAAAAATTACAATAGCAAGACAATCACTTTTTGAAATCACAAGCAATTTATTCAAGGAGTCAAAGAGATATACAGAAGTAAAGCACATTTAAAGGCAATGTCCGGGCAAAAACTCGATTTTGAGA